GGCACAGAATACGACAACAACGGTTACAGTTACAATTACTTGCGGCTTGGAATTGGAAAGGGGCATGATGTGATGTGATGTGATGTGAGATTTCGGGTCGGAGCATTTTGTTCTACTGCAAATCTCTTTTCACTTGCTTTGCCTGCTTCAGAGTTGGCAGAGCAAAAGTGCAACTGTAGCGTTGCAACCCGCGTTCGGCAACGGGAATACGTACCCGTAAAGGTGAAGTGCTCCGGGCGACAACAGCACATTCGTCTGGGATTGGTTTGATATCCTCGGCCTATCACAATTGCAGTTGCAGTTGCAGTTGCATTCGACGGTGCAAGCGAACCTAGCGAAGCACGCAGTGGCATCGCCAAGGATAGATGTGACTGGTTATCCCGCGTCCACCATCCCGCGTCCACCATCCCGCGCTAAAGGAGCCGGATCCCAGCCCAGCAAGCGGACGATTTCTAAAAGGGTACGATATTTGACGAGAAGCAAGATATTCGAATGACAGGAAAATAAAAATGAAATCCACGGCATAAAACCATGTTGCAAATCATTGTCAAGAGAGTAGCTGCATGTCTTGATCCCGATGCTGTATGTTACCGCACTATCCTTTATGCAAAGGAAGCTTGCTTCGGACAGACGGGAACCGAGATGTGAAAAGTGTCAATTTCAACGTGCGCCATGTCTCATTCATTATACGATGCGGCGGGCGCAATAGTTCAATATTTGATCTTCGAGACTTTCTTACACTTTCACAGCTGAATACTCTCTGTCACTCTGAAGAATATCATTTCTCTTTAATTATCGTCTCGCTTATTTGACATGTCACTGCCGTCGTTGTCAACCTCTACGTAAATTCGAGTTGTTCATCTTTATTCTCCATCTCCTCACGTCATCTCAAGGAAAAACACATCCACCAGCCTTGATCGACCTTGGCCTTTCTAGGCATAGCGCCTTGGCCTTCTCCGCTCTCTTGCTTTAGCGCCAGACTAAACATGCGGGATGCAGGACCCGGTGCGCGGGAACCCTCATGGATCTCATGACGCTAGACCATTTGCGTCTCAAGGCCACGGCCTGTCTCCTCTTTCCTCACTTGAATCTTGCCGTCCCGTACCGTATTGCGCATCTCCCTTTCATACTGTGCCGAGCACAAACAACGCCAGAGAATACCAATACATATTCACAAATACTGGTCTAAAGTAAAGACCGCCAGCCATCAACTTTATATCTCTGGCTGGTTTCAGATATAACTCTTTCGCAACGCAGGCAACTTGCGCTGGAAATGTTTGCTTGTGCAATGCATATGCACATATGCACATACGCTGATGCAACTGATGCAACAGCAACACACTAACGTGGGTTATGCCAGGGATACCCACGACTAACCTCCAGCCACGCATTCTCTGTCTTCCACTATCAGTGGCTAACTGTACGATGCGTATGCCCAACTCGACAATCCAATGCTTGGTCCAGCATCTCTGGAATACGACCTCATGCATCCATGTTTCAAGATTGGCTGCCAGTTGTAGCCCTTCAAATGCTGTGCACCACACCACTTCTACTTGTACCGAGCATCAACTGCCAGCGGCAATGGAATACGTACCAAAACACACGTTGTTAACCGCCAGCTAAGACTGGTTGTTTCAGTCGATTATTCCTCGGTTCACACAAATGCATCCATGTTCAGTTATGGATACTTGATCGTTTAAATACAACCTCGAGGGTCGCATTGCCCGGACAAGGGCTCCGGCAGAGTCATGTTGCCTACCATCCTTGACATTTCACAAGTCATGTCAACTCATCTCGGTACTTTATTCGAAACTGCCTAACTGTCAAAAACATCAGACATTCGCAGGTAGCCACAATGCGCTGACCAACTGGATCACGGCATTTGCCCCATCACGAAGTCTATCAGAACAAAGAAACCCAACTCCCTGGCCACGGCGCTGCGGGTACCATTTTCCTGCATTCCGGTCTCCTCCAGAAATTCACCGTGCGTAAAAAGGCTCTGTTGGGATTATATCTCTCGGGATAGGTTTCATCCGTATTAGACATACAAGGCCCAGACAAACCAGATCAGATCATGTCTTTCTGTGCCGTTAAATTGCCACGCTCTCGATTCCCTCCCTGCATTAACCAACACTAGATAACAGCTAACGTCTTGCAGAAGGGGGATCTCTTCTCGATTTACCTTGTCAGCGGGGAACGGGCCGGACGGGACGAATACAGCCTTGCAAGGTTGATTGTGATTAATTGCCCATCATCACCAACAACACCACATATTACTTACACTTCCATATGAAAGTGTTTATTCTCAACAAATAATGATGGATTACAGCCTTTCTTACTGTGTACTTACACTTACAACCATGTCTACAACGCCCGCAATGCTCAGCTCCTCACAGGACCCCCAAGTCTCATCCACTGAAATTGTTTGTCTTAATCTGTCGTACGCCACCAACACAGTCATCTACCCAGCCCTCTCAAATACCTGGACCACAGAATAAACGGAACGCCGCTTCAGGCTGGAAGCCCCGGGACGTCATTGTCTTTGCTTTTGAGTCACAAATCTCAAGTGATTTCCACGCGTTTACCCGCCAAGTGGACGCAAGCCTCCAGACCATTCCCGCATGACATTCCAATAATATTAGCTTTGAGACATCAACCCATTTTCCCCATCTCCCAGCCAAAAGGTCTGTATTTTCAAAAATAGGTTCTAAGGAAGATATGCTCCTGAGACAAGCCGTTTCAACTCAAATCCTCCCTTCAAGTCGGGACTGATCATATCACAACTCACACCGTTGACGATACCCGCACAAGGCTCATCTTTTGATGTCGAGGCTTAGCTACGTACTAGGCTTCAGTAGGCTATCCCTTCTCTCCCTGCACTGCCGATCTTGTTGGTCGTTGTCTCAACATGGCGCGGCACGACACGACGCGGGCTTACCTCTCGATCGGATACTTTCCCTTCTGTCTTCTTTGTCACTTGAGCCCAAAGCCAATGCTCAAGCACCAACTTGCAGATTCCAGACACGACCTTTGCTTTTTTGCTCGCTCTCGTCTATGGTTGCCCATTGCAAGCCATAATCCAGTTTCTGTCTCACAGCCTAGACTCTGATTACCCCTCTCCTTGGGAACACCAGCTTCTCGTATCACAGTAAACCTGTCTTGGTCTAATGTCTCTTATCGAGTTTCTTGTGTAAGGTAGCCAGAGGGAGAAGGCAGCATTTCCCCGCTGTTGGGCATCTGCAGCCGTTGGCATTACCAGCTCACAGGTTGGCCTTCTATGTGAGACGTTTTGGCTTCAATGATATTGGACGCCACTTGCAGTACACCGGACATATCCTCCGGTTTGCTTGACTGCCCTACGCATGCCACGAAGTTAATCGAGCCAGTGGCGCCTTTTTCTTCTTCGTTATTATTGATGAGTGAGTGGTTCTATCTATAAGCCCTTCAGTTATATCGATGTCTCGACAAGTGTCGAAGACGAGATACTGGTTTTGCTTATTATAGCCAAGCCAGTCTAACAAAGTCAACAACTTGGCTGAAACAGCCACAGAGTATCTCCTCACACTATTACATAATCCAATACACACATATCCGGAGTGCTATCCGCTGCATCTAGGTTTGATATGTTGAAGAAGCCTTCAGTTGTTAGACAAGGTCGTGTAGATCAGCAAACATGCAGCAACCCGCGAACAATCACGTCAACTCTGACACTATGCAGAGCCGTGTTTAGTCTGGCTGTTCCACGTCGGCAGGCTCTGGGGGACTCGTAGTTTGACAGGCATGGCATGTTGCACTGTGAGACGAAAGAATGGGCCGATGAGAGATGGCACAGTGAGTGAGTATCCGTCGAGTTGCTGGAGACGTCAGGCTTGACAAGCGATACTGAGGTATACATGGTAACTGTCACTTCCATGGCAATCAGCGAGTTTGTTATCCTTCTGTGAAAGACTCTAGTGTTCTTTAGCAGCTTCTTAGATACCAACCTCTTCTAATTCAAGGTAATGACGTCTAATTCTAAGTCCAAAGCCTTCGGGCTAACCCGTCTCTCTCAAATCTCACAGTAGTCACAACCTTAGTCTTCATCCCTGGCAATTAATCCTAGTACTCCCCTCCCACGTGGAGCTGACATACCAAGTTTCCTTTTTCTCGGGGCGTGTGTCTCAGAGCTGCGTGACTCTCATCCCTTGCGCAAGCCACAACATAAGAACGATGTAACGAAAACGCTAGGCATCAAAGCTTTTAAGGTTACTTGAACAATAGAAGTGCAGTAAATAAATGGCGTCTATTGTAGTTGCTGTCTAGGTTAGTGCCGGTTAGTTGATGTCCAGTATAGCAGTGGTTGAAGAAATAGTTGCTTGGCAACCGCGAGAGCGCGAAAGAGCGAAGTGGCTTGTCGTGGGGATAGAAGTGACGTTGATCCCGCTTCGCAGGGATATACTAGACTTGAGTTGTCTTGGTTTGATTGAAGGTGTAAGGGGAATATGTTTTGGCTGCATTGGAAGTTCCGGTGTGAGACATGTGTTCACCTCGTTGTGTTGGTTTGGTTGGTTTAGGGTAAATCCAAAGCCGAAGGATCACGATCGATGTAAGTCGTCGCTATTAATGAGAACTAGTACATGGAACTTCTTCTATGGTGATTACGATAACTTGAACTGTGATGGTAATGAATGTCTGTTGTTTGGCTACCTATTTCTATAATATAAACTCTATAATTGATCTTCACAGATAATGACTTGCAGTTGTCAATACGAGTATGAGAGAGTGACGATATTAATGATAATTAGTTATTAAGTTACATTCAACAACGTCAACAACCAAAGGGTATCCAACTCCCGTTCAATGAGGGTATCTCAAAAACAATATAGAAAGATATCTTCAACTTCCCCCACCAAGTCTGCACCATTATTTCCTCCCTATATTCTAAACGAGTGTCCTCATAGTCACGTTATTCATAAACGCACTCATCATTTTGCAGCCAAGCCAGATATGATTAACACATCTTAGACAGCAGCCGTAGCAGTAGCAGGAACAGGTTGTTCAGCAGCAGGAGCAACAGGAGCCCTCTTCTCAGGGAAGACGCCATTAGCAGCGTTGACGCGACCATACTGTGTAAAGTGCAAGTTGAGGGCACCATAGTCCCAGCGCTTGGACAAGAACAAGAAGGCAAAAGCGAGTCCGGGAATCAAAAGGACATCGAGGATACCAAAGAAGATGAAGCTTCCAGTGACACCAACCACGTTGCCGCCGTCAGAGATACCATAGGCGATGGGATACAGCAGCCAGAGGAGGTTCACCCAGCCTGCGAGCATGAGATAGTCTCGAGATAGGCCCAGACGAGCAGCGGATGTTCGGCCGGGATGGAGAGTCTGGAAGGCAAGCATGAGATAGGCGAATGTGCCGAAACCGAAGAATCCCCACTTGTACGAGGTTGTGGTGTATGCAGAGCAGAGGTACGAGATGATCCTGTTGTCGTTAGTATCAGTACAGTCATTGCAGTGAGAGATGACTTACCAGATCCAGGCGAGGAAGATGTTGAACAGAATAGTAGCCCAGCTCACGCCGCTCATGAGTCCCAAAGCCAGAATAATGATAGGGAATGCAACAACCCAGTTGATATACTTGGCATAGTAGATCTGATATGAAAGAGCACGACCGAGGTTACGCTGCGTGGGAATTACAGAGTATGCGATTCCAGAGGCGATGGAGAAGTAAGTGATTGCTCCGACGAAAAGGGCAATTGTAAAGAGGTAGTGGAAGATTCTCTCATTGTTGCGAGGCTTGAAGCTGAGGGCAAAGTAGGCGAGCTGTTGATGTGTCAGTGCTATGCAGTGATATAAGAATAGGGAAGACATACGAAGCTGACGATGTAGAGAGCTGTTACAGCCCAGAGCCAGTCTGAGCCAGCATCAGAGAGACGAGCGTCACCCGCTTGAGGATTGACGTCGAGAGCATCGTTTCGAGCAAAGATGATAGCAGGCATATTGAGTGTAACCAACAATGAAGCCTTATAACTTTTAGTGAACTCTTGTACAATTGATCGGTAACTTGTATGCTTTTTATCTCCAATGAAGAACGAAAAAAGAAATTCCAAAGCGAGAGGAGACACACTCTTATATAGAAGACACCCAATATCTAATCACCCAGTGAACATCATAGAATGCTCAACACATTTCACCCAATCTGAGGAATCATTAATTCCACCTGGTCAAGTTTACATCACCCGCTTAATCCAATTGGCTAGCGAGAAGAAGCAAAGAAACCCTCAGAGCGTTGCACTTCTTTTTTTTTTCTCTCTTGGGGAATGACGTGAAAGAGTCTCGTTGTGTATTGGGTACTTACATGTGCATGGCTGGACGAGGCTCTGCTGGGGTATGTAAACATCCTTGGCGATGCTCAATATGACACGGTCAAACTGTCAGCCAAGCTTGAATCTCTCGATGGGTCAACTTGGCGATTAATTCAATATTGAATCATGAATCTGATGACAAGAATTACTTCTCTCAGCCAGATCCTCAGTCAGATTCTCAGTATCATCCTCAGTGAATCATCGTCACCAAGAACGAGGTAACAGTAACAAACACCAAAAAAACATCATGTCATGCCACTATCGCATATCCATTACTCTAATTCCGTGGCTTCCGAGTTGTCATGTGTTTCCATAAACTAAACCCTACAGTCGATCCCTTTCCATGCCTAGCCTCGACCCTGCAGAAACCAAAAGAAGACTCCGGAGAGAGAGGTCCCACTTGAAGCCGGAGCATTTACACAGACAGGGCTGATTATTTGACGTCAAAGTGACTGCATGTCTATACAAGGGTTGTTTCAATATCTACCTTATTCTTACGACACATCACGCGCTCAATATCTACTACGTATTCGCATATCTAGACTCTTGTGTATCGAGATTCCTCCTTTTCAATGATGATATTTCTCTTAGGGTGATGATGTTACTGATACTCTTGATAAACCACCCGTCATTCTCCCTTCACCGTGTCATTCCACGTTTCATTGCATGGCAGCCCTCCATCATGAACTTGATCCAGCCCATTCATACACCCTTGTAACATATCAGTCACGAGCAATACACCCTTGCTCCTCTTAGCTTCTTAGCCCCGGCAGATATCCCGTCTGCCGTTAATTCCATGATATCACCCAAGGAAATGTGACTCTATGCGACGGAAATTGTGACTGCGGCTGCAAGCTTACCGCAATTCCCCCATCAAATATCATTATCCAACCACGCTATATCAAGAAGAAGCATAATATAGGTTACATCAATAACCTTTATGGTCTAGTATACAACACACCATTCCAATCAACGCCTTCCGACACCACCATGTTTTCTCCGCCATTACCTTACGACACACCTCAATATCCCGCCTGCTCTATCTGATACGCTGCTGTTTTCGCTCGCTCCCGCACATCCAAATCCCCATCTTGCTTTGTAAGAGCCTCCATCTTGGAGTAGAACCCGAGCTTTCGTAATTCATGTGCCCTGATAGCACAAGCTTGAGCCTCACCATCGTCGTCCTTAGAAGTCAGGTTGATGATGAAGTGACATAGCGCTACTCGAACTTCTCGATCCTTGCTGCTGGCCTGCTGCGCCAGAAGCTTCAAAAGATCTGTTTGCGCGACGATCATCTGTTGATGTCGTGAGATGCTCGCCGCTATATGCGCTAGGATGTATATAACGGCCACAATGATCTTGCTCTGTGGGTGGAACATCCTGGGCTCTCGGCCACTCGTAACTCGACGGGAGAAAGGTCGATGCACCTTGGGTCGCAATTTGGATGATAGTATCTCGAATAATCGTTCGCTTCCGAATTCATGCAGCAAAAAGTCGATCATCTCCGTTGTCTCATTCGTTGTCTCTGGTGACAGACCACTTCGAGGCCTTCCAATCAGGTTCCGAATCATGTCCAGCCCTTGTTCCTGGATCGCTACATCGTCGTTCCGTGCTCTCCGGACCGGGTTTAATTCGGATTCCCGCACCGCTGCGAGCTTGTCTTCAACTTGTCGCAGCCTTGAAGAGTCGGCAGCGTTGAGTTCTCGAAGCATTCCGTTTGATCCGTAAATCCACCGATGGGGCTCGTCTGATGGCTGCATATCCACATCGTCGTCCATATCCAATCCCGACGCTTCCCGTTCCTTCGCCAGCTGTAAGGCCAAGTCTTCTGTATCATCGCAAACCAACTGCTGTAGCCAGTGAGATCCAAGCTCTGCCAGGCATGCTTTTTTCAGATCGGGTCCAACGGCATCCACGAAGTGTTTGAGGGCCCATAAACCGTTCAAGCGAAGAGCCGGATTCTGTGAGTGGGCGTGCTCGCAAAGAACAGTCACAACACCATTCTCGGCAAGAAGCTGTGACGATTAGTTCCCGTACTCGCATCAAAATAGTTTCTCAAACTTACCTCTCGCACTGGGCTGACCTCCAGAACCAGGTTGCAGATAGCCGCAGTAGCAGCGATTTGAACATTGACGTCCGGATGTTTCATGAAGCGAAAGATGGGAAGAGCAACTCCGTGGTCGACCAACGATGTTCGCAGAATGCTGACTGACCTCGAAAGCATTCGAACAACATGGCATCCGGCAACAATCACAGAAGCAGGGTTGGCACCATATCCTGCCGTTTCCCCCTTTCTGGTAGACTCAGCGCTTGACTTTTCTGAGCCTCGCTCCTTTGCACTCTGCGGTTTTCTGGGGTACTCCGAAAGGGACTCGACAACGTAAGAAACCACATCTTCAGCCACAAATGCCTTTCTGTAGTCTTCCTTACCCCCTGCAAGAGCTGCGATGGCCTTCAATGTGCTTTCACGCACTTTGAGTCGGTGAACCAGAAGCTCATTCTGACCCTCCTGACCAAGTTGAGCCACTGGAGAGTTGTTCTCAACCTCCATATCGACATCTGCATGAGGTGACCAGTAATGCGGTCGCGTACCTTCCTTTACAGGAGTGTAGGCGTGCTTGAGAAGCCGACTTAACACAGGCACGGCTTCACATTCGTAGGCGGCCTTCTGGAGATACTCGCTGTCTGTAATCATGCGAGCCAAAACCACTGGCGCTCGCTCCAAAATAGTGCGTTTGACCGCATTGTCGATCTCATTCACATCTGAGACGTCTTTGTCGTTTTTGGCTATCATGCGAACGAGAAGGGGTACCACGAGAAGCCCCAGGCTCGTTTCTCTCAACCCTTTGCTAGCAACACCACCTTTGATAAGTGCAGCAAGAATAGAAGAGGCAAGGAGGCGCTCATATTCACCTGAGCGCCTTACTAGCCGGACCAGCCAGGGGATAAAGGGGCTCTCAATCTCCTCAGTATCTTCAGGACTCGAGCCCGTGGTTTGGAAACGAGGCGAATCCCATATAGCAGACGAGCTGAACTTGCTCAGAGAAGATCGGCTAGATGATTGCGAATCCGAAGATCCACCTGGCGGTAGGGAGCCGTAGGGGGATGTGGACTGGTTTCGGGGTAGGTTGATCGGAAGCATATACTCCATGGCAGTCACTGGATGCTGACGCATGCTGTTGAGGCCTGTTTGTTCAACGTCTGGGTTTCCTGCAGGCTCAAATTTGATCGGTGGGAAGACAGCAAGAATAGAAGGAGAGTTTGCCAGCCTATTTGCCCGATATTTTGAATCTCCCAGAATAGCACCGATAGCCTCAAGTATCGAATCCAATCTTAATGTCTGGGGTGCCGGGTCGGGGAAAGCTTCAAAAAGCCCATCGTTCTTTGCTGAAGCGTCAGCCCCTGGAACAACCTCTCCGCGAAGAACCGCCACGCTTGCTAGACGGGTCGCTAACGCATCCAATATTCCCGATGTTGCCAAAGCTTGTTGATGGCGCTCTTCACAGCAAAGCCGAGCTATCAAGCCTGCTGCGAGGGAGACTTGGGATTGTAGGAGCATATTCGTAGAAGTGATAGACAGCATTGCGCCAAACGAATCGAGATATTGGGTAGAGAATACGGTATCAGCTAGAGATTCGATATCGATGGGTGAAGATGGCGCCGCCAGGGTAGAAGCTTCGGCTATATCGGTCAATGCTTTGAGGGCCGCGACGACGAGTTGCGGTGCGTTGGTGAACGGCGATACGTTGGCCATGAGGGCAGGAATTGCGCGTGCCGCATGGAGGGGTGCAAGGAAAGCAGGACCTCCTAATCATGTCCATCAGTAACTATAACCAGGCGAAGTCGAGCAGTTCGTTGAGGGCATACCGTTCGCAAAGCTGGCCACCAGTTGAAGCGCCTGTAACCTTACATTCTCATCTTCCGATAACGGCCGCTGTGGTAAAGGAAATCGAGAGTCCTTCCCATTTGACTTCACAGGTGACCTGGCCGAGGCCAGTGTTCTGACAATTGGATCAAGAACACCCAAGCCAATCCATTGCTCTTTTCTTTGTACATGGCCGATAATTTCATTCTTGAGAGCTCGTAAAGCGTCAGTTTGCTCCGGCAATGTTCTGGCGTTTCGCAACTGAGTCAGAATCGGGTGGCTTTGCGCTCGAGCCATGATGATGGGTATTGTATTAAAATGAGATAGGTCGAGGAATTCGGAGTCGTGAAAGAATGGTGTCGAAAAGGGATTTTGTATGTAGCTGGATGGAATTACGTAGCTGTGGCTGCTATTCGACGGGGGAAACCTAGAAATCGAGGACACTGAATGATGTTGACGCCTTCACACCTAATCAAACCATGTGCGCTGATAACTCCTGGGACTTGTTTGAGAAGTGAAGAAGCGAAGACGAAGTGATTAAGATTGGTCGATGACGATAAGATAGTGAGGAAATTGGGTTTCGATGCTGCTGAAATTCAAATTATCAACCGTTTAGAAACATGCGAGTTGCTATCGAAGCCAGTCCGGGGAAACATGGCGTCGTAGATCATGTCAAGCAAGGCGGACTCCGAAAAGATGGCACGTGCTTCTATCTTATCGCAGTTATAAAGAAATTGATCGAATAGCACTGTGGCTTGAGCAGCCACAGGACTGGTCGTGAGCCACTGGTGTTGAGCCTGGTATAAGACATGATGTTGAAGCTATCATGAGTACTCTTTTAGCTTGTCTTGTTAAGATTTTCCCCTTCTTTAAACTAATAGGTTTCAGCCGAGTTTGTAAGGCTTTGTGTAACTGGCTTGCATTTGAAGAAACGTGGAGCTCAGTGTCTGTTCTATTGTACTGCTTGAGAAACGTGGGACATGGGAGCAGACATGATCGAGACTTGACCTAAGGGCTTGAGCAGCCAATTACTTTTACCACAATAATTTTTATGCAGTGATTTGCATCGTTGCCTTTAATTCAATCATAGTCCTAAAGAAAGCAAAGAATTTGAGCTCAAGTGCGATCGTTTCCTGACCATAAATAGTGTTGTTCTCGTCCATTCGTACCGCCATCAACCTACCACTTTGATACGATAGCCGTTGGTTTCACAACAACTGTTTAAACCGCAGAATAAATAGTATATGGTTATGGAAGTATCTGTGTTGAGAACTCTAGCATGGCCTTTCCTTGATGGATTTGAGAGATATCAATACTGGCGATGCACTATGAGGATCCATGATCGCCTGGAATCATAGTTTCACATACCATGAGTTTAATCTAACACTAAGTCGAGTTGAACAAGAAAAGAAATGGTATTTACGAGATGCCATGCGCGAATGTGGGTTTCTCTTTGATGTTGCCTCAACATAAAAGAAGTATCTCGACGGTCGACCCTGTTCGTAATTTTATGACAGGTATCAAACCCACAACGGAGGCGCCTCGGAGACGACACTATAAAACCTTCCTCTTTCATCTCAGCTAGCCGCGTTAACATCTAAGACCGACTGTTTCATAGCAACGATATCGCAATGTCTCCGCACACTCAATCTATCCTTCACCGAGCTCCAATTCTGGAATGATCCGCTCGCGGCATTTGAGCGATGATCTGGGCTGTGGTGATATGCTCTGACCTCTGGCGGCTTGTCGTTCCGTCCACGTTGTGGTTTGAGTGGCTCACGAACGTCGAAATACAGGGCCAGGCTGTACGAGGCTCTTTCTGGGGAATGAGGTGCATCTGGGGTAACGTAAACCTCCTTCGTCTAAGCAGGGACCTTTAATGTGTCTAACTAGTGGTCTAGTGCTTGAGCGGTATATCCTCATTATGTGCCGTGTCTTGTTATTGTGCTGATCATGCCATGGCCCAGTGCACAGTCTCGGAACTTGATATTGCTTTGAGAAGAGGTCAGTGATCAACCACAAGAGCACCTTGCCTACAGTCACCATACTTGCCTTTGGCTGGATTTGGTTTACTCAAACATACACTGACGCCATTCTTACACCACTAAGGATTCACCGTGGTCAAGAGATACATGCAAATTCTATACAAACCAAATCACCCAATTGGTGGCTGGCGTGGTTCAGGCCTCTTCTCTGGCTTTAAACCCCTGAAGAGGGGGAAACATCAAGCTTTGAGCCTGGACCTATTGAAAGATTTGCTGTTCAGTTTGCCATTCTACCCGAGTCATTCTGCCAAGGTCTGCCAAGGCCTCGTCCAGTGAGCAGATGAGCCTGCTAGGCCGTTGAACCAGTGACTAACAACCAGGCCTCCACTGGAGAGAAATTCTGCAGGGCAGCCGACCTAAGGGAGTGAGAGCGCGGTCCGGTCTCCATCCGGAGCAAAGTTGTACAGTTGCTTAGAAAAGTCTACGTGCTGTAACATCCGCTATCCATATCTTGACCTGTGGGCCCCCCGGCCCCGGGCTTGTCCGGTTGATTTATTACCCACTCACCTCACTTTCACCTACCAATGCTAGGCTTGCTAGCCCGCCTTCGTCATCCCAAACTCTTTGTGCGCGTGTCGTATCGAATCTGACAAACAGCAGCCACTTCCTCAATTACCAGACCACCCTCTAGTTACCGTGCCATACCATACCATCCATACCACCTTGAACAGCCCAGGCCACTTTAGGATCTCTGCTAACTCTCTAGCCTGGTATCCTTCGGTGAGCGTTCTTGTCCATAGCGCAGTTCCTCACACTGCAGATTGCGCCAGTGTCGCGCCCACATGGATGGAATCGATCAAACGCCATGATCTAATTCGCGATTCCACTAACCCCATACTTGACTTATCTACCGTATTGAGTTCAACCTCCAACTTCAACTCCTTCGCTGCCATTTTTCAATCTTGAAAGACCCTTGTCTTGCTTTACCGACATTCAACATCGCATCTTTTCAGCCCTACCAAAACGCAACGCAACCCAACCTAAGCCAATCGCACACTACTACTTCAACTGGTCCAAAACCCCTCGATCCTTCAACCGTCCCGACGAACCGACAGCTCGACGATGCGCCGCAAATCATGCTGAAGACGTCTCCAGCCTTGTCCGCCTCCGCCAATGCCTCGCCTACCGCTTTTCGATATGCGACGTCGTCTCCTCAGCACTCCTCAAAGCCTTCGCCAGCTCTCCGGCGACGGCCTTCTACCCGCTCCGACACTCCATCGTCCGCCGACGCTATGAAGTCTTCTCCAATACAGCGTCCGAGACAGTATGTCGCAAATGACTCTGGTATACATGGCTCACCCGAAGTCCAACGGCCGCCGTCGTCAATTTCTCAAAAAGCCTCTGCGCATCCTGCACAATCACCTGCCCCCTCACGCCCTTCTCAGGATCAGACTGTGCAGCAAGGCCAAGCACTAAGCGGGGTGTCACCAACTAAACGTCGAAGCTCTCCCGCTCCAACCAATCCAGATGCCGTTGCTGCTGCGAACTCTTCACCACAGACGAGCAAACGTGCAAAACCTGCTACGCCGCCACCAAAAGTCTTACCAGATCGTTATGAGCTCTGTGCTGTGGAGGACATGGTAGAGTTAGTTGCGCATATGTTGGCTGAGTTGATCGCTACAAATGACGCCATCCGAATTTCGAATGGCGGATTGACACGCTTTCACTCAAGGTAAATTGCGGCTCTGCTCGTCCAGATTTAACGGTTTTAGCTAACATGATACAGAACCGCACCTGGAATCTCGGTTCGAGATTACCTCCACCGTTTGGCTAGACATGCGACCTTGACACCGCCGCTCCTCCTGGCCATGGTCTACTACATTGATCGGCTATGCGCCATGTATCAAGAATTTACCATCAATACGTTGACTGTGCATCGATTTTTAATCACTGCAGCTACAGTCGCTGCCAAAGGGTTATCAGACTCTTTCTGGAACAACACCACTTATGCTAGGGTCGGTGGCGTTCGAGTAGCAGAACTCAAATTACTAGAGTTGGAATTTCTCTACCGAGTTGATTGGAAAATTGTTCCAAACCCTGAAGTCCTTGTGGCATATTACAAAGGTCTAGTGGAACGAACCCCTGGCTATGTTTTAGAATCGGATGGTTCAGACGACGACGACGAAGATGAGGATGACGACGCCGAAGACGGAGAGAATGAGCCTTTGGACAATTAGACTTGACACCAATTGGTTCTCTGTTTGGCACCGAGACAAACAATTCGTCCCATTTCTAGGATTATTCAACCAAGCTGGCTGTGCGGCCAGGAGACTTTTCATTAACGGAGCCATGAAGAGAGGAAAAGAGTTGATTCTGCATAGCACTGCATTTACAGGCGTTGGGGATAGGGGCGGTTTTATTCCGATTGATATTGAAACGGTACACGGATGGGAAGGGAATGCAAGGGTTGAATTGTGTAAACTTTTGTATGAGAGCGTTTAGACTCAACTGTGAGCATTCACAGCATCTTTTCTGCACTTCATGATTGTAAAAACTTTCTGGTTGAACCGATCAGAACTTCGCCTGATTTGCCTTACTGTCGATTGCCTCGTTGCAGATGCCGTTGTTCACTTATATCAATTAGCCGACAATCTACCGCCACATACCACATGTGTCGTTTCCAAGCTCCAGCGCTGCCATAATCCACCGTCCATCAACTACATCGTATCAATTAAAGGCGAACCATAACCCGCCGCTCACAATGAGGATCACAACCTTCCTCTCAACCATTTGTGCCGCCGCGCTTGTCGCAGCTGAGCAGCGCACAGCTCAAATTTACATCCAACCCATCCTATCCTCACCCTCAAAACCTCAACCCCTAGCTGAAGTCGCCTACGACGCCGCCTCACTCATCTCCACCGAGATCGTCTCCTACGAGGCCCCTGAGCTGCCCGAGACCGCATCCCTCATACGTGTTGGTATCTACGACCCCAAGTCTTCGCGCTGGATTGCCGGTACAACTGCTGCCTCAACGGAGAACTTTGACCGCGGTTACGCGCCTACGATATTGCTCTCCGTAGATGAGAGCGGTGATGTGCGCAGTGTGGCGCTTAAGGGTGTAAGGGTCGATGCTGGCCAGACAAGAGATTTTGGACCCAAGGCTGTTGTTATCGCGGAGAAGAAGGGGGCTCAGCCTGAGTTGAACAAGCCGATTGTGCTGTCACCAAATGGTAGAAAGGCAGCTGAGGAGGAGCCCAAGTCGTTGTTGCAGAAGTGAGTATTGTTGAATCGAAATGAGAGAGTGAAAAACTAACGTTTGAATAGGTATTGGTGGCTTATTGCCATCGTGGTTGTTATGTCGATGGCTGGTGGAAGCGAGAAATAGACTTACATATCCAAACAAACGACTCTAATCAACCATTTTATGCCAATCATATTCGTTCAAGTATCGTGACTTATACCATTGACGACTCAGGTATTTGGGTCTGTGGATTTCGCGTGTGCTTGTACCTACAGGAAAGTAATGATCTTAGCCAGGAGGTTGAGGATGATCCAGAAACGGGGTTCGTTTTTCTGTGCAAGTTTGAATGTCAAGCCCAACAATATCCATGGGTCTTCTCATTCCTTTACAACCAATGCTCATTTCACGATAGCATTTTAAAAGTGTCAGGTACGACAGACCAAGGTGCTACTCACCATGGCTCTTTCTTCCTCGCATGTGCCGCTACTTAGACCTTGATAAGTTGGGGGAAAAAGCGTAACGGAGGTACTCTGACTTATCATCATCATCGTCGTCGTCATTATCATCACCATCACCGCCCAGTATGCCTCCACCATGCTGGAGGACTTTACCACTTGAAATCCGGCACCAGATTCTTCGGCTTGCCGAATATCATAACCCTTTGGGCAAGGATGAGCTATTCATGATGTACAAAACGCATTGGAAGAGAGTCGCGTTAGACTCGAAATCCTTGGAAAAATTCGAAGAACTCGTGCGTGGACGTCACAAAGAAATGCTCAAACAGCTCTGGCTACACATTGGGCTTCCAGTGTATGGCTAGCAACTTGGCTTGGAAGACGAGCGATATGAAACCAAGAGGTTAAACCACACAGCTGTAAGGGAAAGCATTTCAAAGCTCTTCCGCATCCTGGGTAGCTTCAGCGAGGAGTATTCTTTTAACTTGGAATTCACTATGCAGTCTCGAAGCGACTCACATTATTGGTACTCGCACCTCCACTTTGGTGGGAATGAACACCCACGAATCCGTTATGTCAACTCGCTTCGGCCACGAGGGAAAGCGGAGTTGCGTAGCGACTTCAGCCCTGAGGAGCCCGAGTACTGGGGATATCTAGGAAGATTGTTTGCAATGCTGAACCCGACATTCCGGCAACTGGTAGTACCGGAGGTGCCTGCAGTCAAGAAATTCATCCTGCGCCGTCAGTCCCGCCGTCAGTCCCGCCGTCAGTCCCGCCGTCAATTTCGCCCCTGCACATTGAAGGTATTGCTGGCGAAGTTTCCTCGACTTAAGAGTTTCGTGTGGGAGCCATCACGTCTTCATTAGGGAAACTATCATCCCCTACCTCATGGTTTGCAGAGATGGAAAAAGACAAAAGGCTACGAAACTTACGGCGAAGGTAAGTTTATTATTCACTGATCAAGAGTGATGCAGTTGTCTTAGCGCCATTTGACTGACGTCTAATAGAGCTCGTATCTTTTTTCGATACTGGTTTGCCACCGAAGCTCAAGGATCTGCTAATTTTCGAAGATTTCAACCCAGCGTTTGCCTATGGCACTGGCCGGCCATATCCACCCGAGCATCTTCGTCTCATGGCAGATCCTGGAGTCGCCGCAGCACTCGCACGCGGAAGCGTTGGATTTACACGACTTCATATCTCATATATGATCGATGCCCGGGACTTCTTCATGGCCTACCGCAAAGGCTGGGAATGGCAGCACTTAGCCTCACTTCCGCCTTGCTCACTCCCTATTCAAGCAATGATAAGATCAGTGCGCTTCTATGTACAGCTAGCGAGGTTGCCCTTGGTATGCCGAAGCTGCAGTCATTTGCATTATAAAATGGACAAAAGGGTATCGCAGCAGGCTTCTTCTATCGCAAGAGAGACACGTCTATGATATGGCAGAGCGCTTGGAAAATGCACATCCAGCCTTGTGTTATAGAGGCCTGGGAACTAGCTCTTAAGGACACTCTCATTCCCCGAGAGGAGTTTTTGGAACCTAAATTGATCAGGTCTCATGGCGATGCCATCGCACAACTTGATCTGCCGGATGGTATCGTTGACCCAATATCTCTTGAGCAGATACGCGATGAGAATCAATAGGTAGCAGCAGCCAGCACGGCTTATCACGAGACAGAGAGTATGCATTCCATAAGAAAGAGTATTTGAGAAAAGACGACAATTGTACATAATGAAGTGAGCATCAACTTCGAAGCCAATATTGAGGCGTTCCCTAGGAGATCACGTGAGAGATGTTGAGTCTTGGCGAACAATTGGAGCTGCTAGTCCATATCGAGCTAGACTTATCAGCTCAACCTCCACTGGTTGCCATGGATATTAAGGGAACAAGATCTGGGTCGCACTTGCAGCTCAGCACCCGCATCTCGCGCCGCATTTCAACCTTTGCATACATCCACTTCGTTCACCTCTTTTTGCATTCACACCGCTGCCAAACAACATCGCGCTTTTCACTCCTTGACTTTTCGTAAAACCAATACCACCGCAACAATGGCCGACAACAGTGCTACTCTTCCCCAGGACCCCTCCCAGGCCCAGGGCGCTACCATTGCCGAGGAGAAGGGAAAGGGAAAGGCTCCCGCTGAGCAGATGACCGAGGACACTGCTATGGATGAGGATGACGACGATGATAGCGATGATGATGAGGAGGAGGTATGTGCTTTCACCTCCCGGTACTTGCCACAATTGCTAACAATGTTTTTATTAGGTCCCCGAAGCTGGTAATTACACGCACCTGCAGCACTTAGACCGTGAACCAAGCTAACCCACGTGTGCAGATGAGGAAGATGGCTTGGAGGAGATTGACCCCAGCAACATTGTCGAGGGTCGCCGTACTCGAGGTGCCCAGATCGACTTCGCCAAGGCCGCCGAGCAACACCCTGCCGACGACGAGGATGAGGAAGACGATGAGGACTTCCAGCCCCCCAACGAGGACACTAAGATGTCTGACTAAATGCACGTCATGACCTCCTCTGACGGACGTTTTACTGAGGGGACGGTACGATGTTATGAATTTTGGAACTGAGCAAAAAATAAAAAGGGCCCGGGCGTGGATGATTATACCGGTTTACCTAGGCTCTGGACTAGGGGATCTAGGCGGCACGGAGTCGTGGATAGCATCAGCCACCTTTAGCATTCAACTACTTTGCATATGTGCTGTACGCGTACAGTTACATGCATTTAAGAGCAATGCGAAGTGTCATTAATACAGTCAAAAACTCAGTGCAAGATCGATATTGTGATGCCTGTCACACGCTTATTTGAGGAGCTATAGCTGTGTTGAAGCTCTGCCTGCTCTCAGCTCATGTGCCATATTTGACTCACTTCTGCCAATCATCCAATGTGAAACCATCACACTCGTCATAATATACGTAATTAAGTGCCTATTTCAACAGCAAAATAATTTAATCATTACTTGTCCTCAAGTCGGAATTTAACATCGAGCTTCAGCAAGAAAGACCATGACACGGGATTGGACAGCCCCTCGGTACGTATTCTCCGTACTCCCCAATCCAATGAGCCAGACCGCTGTCATCAGCTAAGAGAACACCTAAGAAAAACAACCAGGGTATCGTAGGGGGGAGGACCCAAGATTCGCGAACCCCTCGATAATTTTTTAAATCTTCATCTCCTTAATACACAAACCCCTTCTTGGTTTTGTCTCCCCGGCTATCTGGTCTCGACTGAATAGTCATGGCGCAACGGTACGACACTCCTTAGCAGATAGATGGTGGCAAACCGAATCATCAAAATCCCAACAATCGATTCGAGACAAAATATTGACAGCGCATCATAGATTCGGTGCATCGTCGCTTCATCAGCGCGACTCTCGCAGCGCTCTCTTTGAGGGCTACACCGGTGACGCAGCATCTCGACGACCCGTCAGCGCAAGCCCAAATCGAGGATACGGCTACGGCGGATACGGAGCCCCCTCGCCCTCGCCCCTTGGACAGGGAGGTTTCGACGCTTCGAGGCCTGGTTCGTTCCGCTCTGCGACACCGAATAAGAGGGGCCAGTATAGCGATGCGGTACTCAATGAGCTTGAGAGCCAGAACGATGCGCAGGTGGAGGGTATTCTTGGCAAGGTCAAGGTGTTGAAGGATGTGAGTTTTACTCCTTTCCAAGGGTTGTTACTAGTGGAGGAGCTGACACTTGGGTGATAGATGACGGTTGCGATTGGAGACGAGATCCGCGAGTCCTCGGCGCTGGCGGAGAAGATGAATGATAGTTTCGACTCGACACGCCTGCGACTCCGGGGCACTATGAACCGCATGCTTGTTATGGCTCAGCGTACTGGTGTTGGCTGGAAGGTCTGGCTTATCTTCTTTGCCGCTGTGATCATGCTTTTCATCTACGTTTGGCTCTTTTGATGTCGAGCCCTACATACGATATGACCCAAATCATCGACTTGAGAGTACGCAGAGACATTGATTGACCGAGAAAAAGAAAAAGAGCTGTCCGATGTGCATTCTGGAATGGCGTTTGGATGGGCGTTTTGCAATTTACAATTATGCATGATAATCGAGGATCTCGGGCAGACACGGGAGAAGCATCACATCACGCAACGATCAAGTTGCCCTCTACAAAGGTTGTAATCACACTTCTGGGCAAGCCTGTGGCTAGCAACCTATCTTTCACTTACATATTGAAAGACGGGAAGCGCTCAATTTCAATTCTTCGATAATGAACAATGAATGGGTATATAACACTGCTGTCTGAACTTGTCTATTTGTTGATCGTGTCGCATTAGTCGTAAAGTGCTAGCCGTGACGGGCTCGTCGTCCAGCTGGACTGCTCTGCATGAAACTGCTGCCGTCTTGCGAGAGAAGATTACTTAGATCCATGCTGGCGCGTGGATGCGCCATGCTGGAACGGCCTTGGAAAGTAGGCGACATAGGACGAGGGAGGGTTGCAGAGCGAGGTGCGAAGCTAACGTCAACATCGTCTTCATCATCCTCATCGTCGTTGGATGACTCTTGTTCACTGCTAGAGATTTCGGCTTCAGAGTCGGTGTGCTCGTAGCCGCCGCTCTCAGCCTCGGGGATGTCTTCGTCAAGATCGGCGTTCATGTCCATGCCAAGGTCATCGTCTTGAGCGAAGTCTTCCTCGTCGAGAAGATGGCCGTTATCCTCTTCTTCTTCGAGTTCTTCGGTATCGCCATACATGTCATTAGCATCTGGCTCACCGCGGACGAGGGCCTCGCGAAAAGCATCGTCGCCCATTCTCATCCGTGCTTGCATGAGATCGTTCTGACGCTCTGCTCTTAGGGCTTCATCGTCTGTCTCCTCGCCATCTTCTTCGTCCTCTTCTTCTTCGTCCTCATCCCCGTCATCTTCATCCTCGTCATCGTCGTCGCCAAAAGCGTATCCTTCTTCATCAGCGTCAGGAATCTCATCGTCTAGATCTTGAGCTCCATCAAGCTGAACATCGTCCATTGTACCCTCTCCAGGCATACCCTCTGCTTCAGCTTCAGCTAGTTCTTGAGCTAACTGTTCTCGGCGCATTGCTTCTTGGTGCTCTTCTTGCTCCCGCTTCTCCTCACGCATCTGGTGCAATGTCTTAGGAACACCCGGGGGTTTCAGCCAGCCGCTGCCATAATTCTGAACGTTCAATCGTCGTCTCTGCATATACTGTTCATCTGCGGCAAGGCGAGCAAGAGCTGATCGCTCAATGAGCTTCGTCCGTTGTCGAGCTTGATTTGCACCATGTTGAATGCTAGGTGTATCACCGCCAAAGTCGTCGAGAGGTCCAGGTGGGGTGTAAGGGCGGCGAGAAGATCTATACCACAAAGAATGCGACTAAGTATGTCAGAATTTATAGTTAATCCCATCCGGAAGAGCCTTACGTCTCGCGGTGTAAAGTCTGGTAGTGTGGTGAACATGACAGCCAGGTCAAGACGCGGTCGCGTCAAGCTGTTAGGTGTAGCTGTTGATGTTGTATTGACTTCACATTTCCAGGACAACCTTAAGTTTCCTCTTACGAAATGGCGGGGCAGTTTACGCCATAAACGCGCCGAAGCGCTTAATAGCCGCCATTGGTGGGAACCGGTTGTCGAAACAATGCAACATTAAAAGCTTCACAAAATGTTAATGAGTTAGAAGGATTTGACAGGGTTCTTGATCAAAAAGTGATATATGAATTATGACACTTGAGTTTGACTGACTGTGAACATCTCCGGTCGACCAAACACTACTTCAAGTACGGCTGAATATTTTTCAGCGGCTAGGTCGGCTTGACATGAGCGGTTTATAGCAGAGGGCAACACCATGCTGGTTCTAGACTCATGTCTCTGATCTGGGAAATGAAACCCCCAAGGAGCGACTGCAACTCTGTCGATCTGAAATTGAACTGAACTCACCGCCTGGAGCCAAGCTTATGATTTCCTTTCGGAGACTTTCTGATACGATCAACAATGAGGCTGCAGGGAGAGTCGGTGGTTTATTCATTTTGTTTGGTAACCATATTATCGATTGCCGTGTGCTGTGCCCTGTTCTGCTCAAGCATTGGATGGATGGCATCTCGACAAACTCCTGCAACGTCGCTTGCATTACTGCCCTGTAACGCACAGCGCTAGACCCTTGCCTCATGCAAAGAATTCGTTCCATACCTTTGTAGGTAAAGTAGCTCGTAAATTACCTGTAGCGAAACTCGAGTTGGATATCGGAAGAAGTCGGAATCAGGAGTGGGAGGCTCCCTAGCAAGCAGAGAGTACAGCAAAGCATCCATAGCAACTCCGGAATTTGACCGCAAAGACCGTCGGCGTCTCTCCGTCGGCCTCGAATTGAATGAGGTTTTTTTGTTTTTGTTCTGGGTCTTCGGGGATCGGGAAGTTGGACTCTGGGCATCTCTGGTTCATAGGCTGAATGAGGCTATGTCTACGGATTGACGGCTCCGCAAGCCCGTAATGGAGATGCACTGCACTTGCTGCAGACAGCCCAGCCTAACAGCGTAGGCTACAGCATCTGGACAGCAGTAATAAGAGCAGCATAAGTTACATGAGATGCCGTTTAGCACCGCCGAACTCGCTGTGGTCCACAAGCAGTCTCCGCTCAAGGCAAACCAGCCAGCAACTCGCTTTTATTTATAATCTCTCAACTCTTGATTTGAGCTCCTTTCGGGATCCATTCGCCCGCCGCCGTTTTAGTATTATTTTATATGCGGTATCAACGCCGAGAGATAAGCAATTGTGGCACCCCACGCTAGGAAATACGGCGAACGCGAACGAGATCTGGTAGCATTGGACTGGATCCTCTTGAGTCTTGACTGTAATGCGACCGAGTCGAGTCGAGTGCGTACGTATTCGTGAAAGACATATGCTGTCATGTCTAACGGAGGACAAAGACCGTACTCATCATGCATCGGGGAGCCGTAACTTGAGATCCGTACAAAACTGGCCAGATATCGCCTGTCTTTCCCCAGACCACATGTTTATACAGCCCTGATGAAATCAAAGCACATCCCTTGCAACCATTGGCCTCTCAGTGTTGTACCGGTTCGAATTGCCCATCTCAGTGACGTCTTTCATGCAAGCCTACTGCCACTGCAACACCTCAGAGAACCTAACCTCGCAGGCAGGGTCCCCGCAGGGACTCCCGAAGCATGGTGAGACAGGTGCATCTGCGCGATGGCGTCGACTAAAGACGTCGCTAGACGATCTTCTACCCTTGGCACGCTTTGGCTGCCGTGTGTGGTGTGCACGGCACGAGCTTGTTCCGTTTTAGTGCACCTGGAGAGATAGTAAACGGTGATAGGCTCGAGATAAGAAACGACTTGACTCTCGAGCCTCTGATTGGTCGCCTCTCCCAATTTTATGTTGTCCATCTTTTGACTGTGAATCTGTGAGATAATGAGGTAACGGCGATGAACATCACACGTGTAAGTGCCTCCCATCAACGATCCAAGGCGCCGACTCTGACTCTGAGAACCAAAACGTTCAGGTTGGGGGTCCATGTCCTCGGCTGGCTCCCAGATGCGCTCGGCGACTCTCAGAAACATCCCGAGATCCCAGGGCATAATTTCAAAATCCAACTCCACTATGCAGTGTGGCCTGCTTCTCACGCGAGTCTAAGAAGGATTCCATAGCGGCAATGACCGTAGTTGAGGCAAATAAAAAGACAGGGAAACGGCTCTATTTCAAACGTCGTAATGTTTGTGTTGACGTGGCATACTGACAGGCAGAGACAAGCAAGACAAGGTGGAAGATCATAGCCAACCTAGAGCCAGGATGATAGTCACTTCACGTACCACACCAAATTACAACAAATAAGTATAACGTAGTAACAATCTGGCGTTTGCATGTACGCAGGGACATAAGGTAGTGGCACACGGACGGAATCACATCTCAAATCTCGCACAGCAGAATCCAGATGCAACATCAACATCCAGCTACTCGGACTGAAGTGTAGTGTAGGTAGTGCAGGATGGGGGTTGATAGACGAATCAGGCCCAGCTCAAGCTCCCCCGCGCAGCATCTGTACGTCAAAGGTCCCGCCCCAGGTTCACAAGCACGCTCACGCTCATGCTCATGGCTCATGGCTCCTCAGTGCTGCTCCAAGAGACGAGACAACGTGGGTGCGACATCGGACTAGCTGGGCTTTGAAAATGGCAAGCCATGATTGGTGTCGCAAATTGAGAAGTTGAGCTGATCCCTGCAGAGGAAGGTTTAACGTTCCAGCCGGCGTCGCACGGATTAACAGCATCTTCCAGCCATTCGGCGCCATCCATTCAGACCCTGGCACTTTAGCCATGAACTCGAGGCGCTGGTCGGGAGTCAGAGTGCGGTCGTAAGTGGTTGGCTCGTCGTTAGCGGCAAAGCAATCCATCCCTCGGCCGTATTTCTCTTACACGAAACCATGTTGCAAAGCTATTCACAGATTGACAGCTTGGCGGATAGATATGCGATAATAGGTAGCTGTAGCTGCCTATTAGCCTATGCTTGATTGGACGCAATAACGAGAACATGTCCTCTCCGCGTCGGTTAAACAGATCAGATTAGGCTCCATGAATGCGGAGAGCGGAGCATAGCGGAGAGGAGCTATTTCAACGGAAAATAGGAGCGGCGGAGGGTATTGCGGCTATGGTCCAGGGCGGGAACGTCGGAGAGGAAACAACAGCAAATGAGGCCATTCATGAATATTAATATGTATTAGAAACAAATTGACTGGCTGCAGGAGGCTGACCGAGCTATTGACCGCCAAACTACAATCTTACGGGGTTGCAGATGGAACGCACCTAGTTGTTAGGTCAGATCAATGGAGGAGGTTCAGAAGTCAGGCAACTATCACAGAGTGGGTTGATTCATAACGCGGGGAGTAAATACTATTATGAGGGGATCCATGGGGAATTACGGAGTACCCTGTTAATTAATCAGAATACCGTATGTATCGAAACAGATGCATCTTGCCACTATTCGATTGAGCGACGTGTATCCTTTCTTCGAAGACGTAGTTGTTGGCAGATCTCAACCCTCCAAGACTGCAGATCAGAAATGGAGGGCTGTAACAACACATTTCCCATTTTGACTCGTCTAATTTGCTGCGTTGTGCATCTCCTAGCACATTGATATTCAAAAAGATGTGCGTTTGCTTTCGCCTCCAAAGAGGAATCTGCCGAGGATGAAGGCCGATCTACGGAGGAGGGTGAGCGGAACACAGCGGACGGGCGCACCTCAAGACTTAAGTCGAGGGCTTCAAAACTGAGTTCGGAGGAATTTCCGAAGCGTGAGAACGGGAAGTCCGTAAGATGATTCTGAATAAAAAGTATGGAAAAATAAGGGATAATGGTATGGATAGTTGGGATTTGATACAAGGAATCAAAGCGTTGAGCGAATCGCAGAGTATGGAACGACATATACAATATGGTAAATTTGGAGAATAACACGATCCTTGAGTAATAGGCCATCCCTAGGCTTTAGCAACCCTTACAACTTGTGTAACAAGCATGTCAGCGGAAGAGATGCCGAGAGGAAGAGGTGAGATGAAAAGTCCCGAGCTTCCTAATGCTGATACATTTGAACGTGATGTTGCTCAAACAGTGGCATGTCAATGATAGGAGCGTCGTATAAATGCCTGTAACCTCATTTGCTTGCGGCTGTTTCCTGGCATGTGCGTTTTCCTCCTCCTCCTCTCCCCCAATTCCCGTCTACTCTACTGCATGGGGGAAACGGTAGGGAAATGGGGCCACGGTAGGGTCCATGCCGTGCGCCCACCTCGAGTTCGGAGCCAGCACGCCGAAGACAGACTCTTGAGAGAAATATAAGAGAATGATGGTTTGTGAGGACTGGTCTGGTTGTATTAGGAATAAGGCTGGAGAAAAGGCACAGCTAGACAAGACACAAAGAAATTATAGAAAGTCAGTTTTCATGTGAAATACCATTTCTTGACATCCAATCCAACATAACTTTTGTGTCTACAAACAGTGCTCTTCAAGCCATCAACATCATCAGCATCATCGGTCCCCCCCACTGCGCTATGCACAACCCCGGTGGTCTCGCTCTGACGCCGCATTCTCGACCTCGACCAAAGGCTCTCCTCAAGCCCTATTCAAGATACACACCCCTCCCGAACTAGCTTTCTCCTTATATACACCCCTCTCCCTGGCAGCCTTTCCAGGTTCCTCCCCCTCCACGCACGCCGTAGCCGCTCCATTGGATTTTTTTTGGTGTTCGCTTGTCCATTTTCCCTTTCGTGGGGCTTTTTTTTTGAGCTCCGTGGACCCAGTTGGATTGACTCGAGAGAAAGAGGCAGTGAACCATTGAGCTGTCACTGTTACTGCTAGAGTTACTCGAGCTGCTATTGGACTGGGTTTCTTTTGCTGGACGGCTTCGGACATCAATTCCCTTTCTCCCGTGCCCTCCACTCTCACTCTTACTCTCACTCCCACTCATCTCCCGCCCATTCATAAAAGCAGAGCTGTTGCCCTCCCCCTCCAACATTTTCTCTCCCCTTGATCTCTTCCTCCTACTGCCACTGCTCTGTCCTCTCGCGTTCGCCTCTCCTTAGAATCTAACGTGCCACATCCTGCCTGCTACTGCACTGCAAGCCAGTCGCCTTTTGATACCCTTTCGTTTTACGAATAACCTCTTTGGTGAAGAGGACCACCACTTGGTAAGTTTGTGATGAGCACTCCCTATCGAAAGCAACGATTTCCTGCCCGGAGCAGAACTGGATTCACTTTTGCATCTCCTACGACACTGGGTGCAGCTCCTCGACATAGAGCTACCTGGATAAACGACATTCGGGCCATCGCTACTCATTCTTACGACCTGAACTGGCGACACACCGAAATCACATGTCTCAGACAACAAGTGAAGACAACATTTCTGGCGGACTAGCTTAACAGACCTCTCTGATTGCGCCCCTCTGGCATTGGTGGCATTCGTTTCCATTTGCAACAGTTGGTGGCATCGCTGCAGTGACGTCCATCCCCAGGCGCCTCTTCGGCCCCCCCTTGTCTTAGCCGCATGGCTGCATGGTTAGGTTGTTAGCATTGCACAGTCCATCATTGGCCCTGTTGCTTTAAAACATCCCACTCTGATGCAGCCAGGACAAGGGCCCCGCCCGGCAGACCGCCGATAATTTGGTGGGTCGATGGCCCGAATAAGACAGCTCAGAAGCTTGGTCGAGAGCCTGCATTGTCTTGGAAGTGGATGCTATGAAATGGACACTGCCATATTGTCATGTCGCTGTTCGCTCGAGAGCGCTACGCAAAACCATTCAGCCAGAAACAGAGGCTGTAGTGAGAGCTGCGGGCGCAATTTGGCGGGGCATATTCTCTGGTGACTTTGAGTTTATCGTCAGATTTCCTTATCTCTACCCGATGCCGGAGCCACCAGCTTTTTTATTATTATTTGCGATCCCTCAATGAACAGCAAACCCCGGACTGCCTCGGCCAACCTTTCGGAACCTGTTTGAGCTCATCGGAACCGGTCCTACAGCCTATTACACGCAGCGCGTTTAATTGCCATATCTTCCTTTTATCCGTGCTAATTGATTTAATGCTAGATCTCCGTTAGAGTGGCTACAGCTGCTCTTACCAACGTGCCCCGCGATCCTACATCCCCCACCGAACTCCCCCACAACCCCACCCAAGTTCGATCGAATCCTTGCCTAGCATGGGCCTAAACGAGGACTTCGACGACCGACAGATTCAAACCGAAGCCGAGCAACAACCATACATACCTTATGAGTATCAGACTGAGAACAATGACTCGTGGGCTGGTGCCTTGCCGGTGAAGCAGGGTCTCTATGACCCTTCTTATGAGAAGGATGCTTGCGGTGTCGGCTTTGCTTGGTCAGTTACTTCTCAGATGATCATCATAGCCTCACTAACATGTTCTTAGCCACATCAAGGGCAAGCCTAGCCACAAGATTGTCAGTGATGCCCGTAACCTCCTCTGCAACATGACCCACCGTGGTGCCGTGGGATCTGATGCACGAGATGGTGATGGTGCTGGTGTCATGACATCCATCCCCCACCGGTTCTTCATCAAGAACTTTGAGAAGGAGGAGGACATTAAGCTGCCTCCCCTGGGCCAGTACGCCGTGGGAAACCTGTTTTTTAAGCCCGACGAGGAGACTCTTCAAGAGTCCAAGAGGCAGCTGGAAGATGTTGCCGAGTCGCTGGGCCTCCGAGTCCTGGGATGGCGAAGGCCTCCTGTCGACTCGACTCTTCTAGGACCTGCTGCCAAATCGCGTGAGCCCATCATCGCTCAGCCTTTTGTTGTCTTGGCCTCTGCTTACGGTACTGGAAATGCTCCTGAGATGACCGACCCCGAGAAGTTTGACGAACGCCTGTTCGAGAGACAGCTGTACATCCTTCGAAAGCGTGCCACTCAGAGCATTGGTCTTCACAACTGGTTCTATCTCTGCTCCCTTTCAAACAAGAACATCGTTTACAAGGGTCAGCTCGCTCCCGTCCAGGTTTACTCTTACTACCACGATCTTGTCAACGCTGATTACGAAGCTCACTTTGCTCTGGTGCACTCTCGTTTCTCTACAAACACATTTCCCTCA